ATTAAAGGGGTGGGCCACCACACCCGACTGAATTTATTTTTAGAAACTTTACTACAAGTAAAATAACTGACCCACAAGAAAAGCCTTAACCCAGATAACTAGTAAATTCTATTGCATATTTAAGGAAGAAATAACATCAGGTAGCCCCAGCTGGCCTAGAACTCACTGTGTAGACCAGGCTGGCCTTGAATCACAGAGATCCGCCTGCCTCTGCCTCCAGAGTGCCTGGCCTCTCAGTTTTTTCAACCACTACCAAACAACACAAAAATGCTGTAAGGAAACTGTACTCAATAGTCCTATGTGAGTTACTTTTACATCACTGATTAATAGAAAGAACCTAGAAAAAATTATTTTGGCTCATGGTTTTCAGGTATTTCAGCCCATTCTAGTGCAGCTACGTGACAGAGTAGCTCTGTCCCTGATGGTAGGACTGTGAGGGAGTGGCTCTTCAACTATAACTTTGAAAGACCTTCCCCAGGGATCCACTTCTGTTAGCCTGGCTCCACCTCCTAAAAGCCCTGCCGCCTCCCAAATAGTGCCACTATCTGGGTTCTGAGCATGTAAAATGTGAGCCTCCAGGGGTCATTTTAAATCCAAGCCACAATTCTTTATGAACACAGATACACATTTCTTAGTAAGATACTAGCAGGTCTGATTCTGCAATATATTTTTTAAAGATAATACTAGATATTAACTCAATCCCAGAATATAAGGTCAGCTTGACATTGGAAACCAAACACTATTACTGTTCAGAATGAAATAGGAAGAATCATAGACATCTCAACTGATAGAAAAAGGGTATTAGATAAAACTCACTACTTATTCATAGTAAAAACTTAACTTTGGAGGAGGAGTGGGTTGGTCTTTTTGAAACAGTGTCTCCCTACAGCCCCAGCTGGCCTGGAACTCACTACATGGACCAGGCTAGCCTTGAACTCACAGAGATCTGCCAACCTCTGCCTCCTGAGTGCTGGGATTAAAGGCATGCACCACTACCCGGAGCCTAGAAAGAAAGTTCTTTAGCTGTGAAATAGCCACAGAAAGCAATATACTGAATGGTTACAGATGGTGTATTTTTTTTCCTAAGTTTGGGAACTGGACAAAGATTTTCTGTCACCACTTATATTGAACACCATATGGTAGAAAGTCTATACAAAATAAAGACAAAAGAAAAATAAAATTATATGAATTGAAAGGGAGGAAGCAAGGATTGACAAAATGGCTCAGCACTTACTGCCAAGCCTGACAGCCTGAGTTCAATCCCCCGGAACGCACATGGTGGAAGGACAGAATCATCTCTGACAAGTTGTCCCCTGACCTCCACACGTAGGCATGTACATGCACACACAAATATTTTTATGATTTTTTTTTTTTAATTTAAGAAAGGACATAGTTGTGGCCTGGAGAGATGGCTCAGAGGTTAAGAACACTGGCTGCTCATGCAGAGGACCTGAGTGTGCAGTTCCTAGCACTTGCATGACTACTAACAACCATGACACCTTCTTCTGGCTTCTGCAGGCATTACATGCCTGTGGTGCACTTACATGTAAGCAGGACACTCATACACATAAAATAAAAATAACTCAAAGAAATTTTAAAGAAAGAAAATTAAATGGGTATGATGGTACACACCTTTAATCCCAGCAGATGCAGGCAGATCTCTGAGACTAAGGCCAGCCTGGTCTACATAGCTAGTTCCAGGCCTGCTAGGTCTACAGGGAGACCCTGTCTAAAAGATGGGGAAGCGGGGGGGGCACGCAGAAACAAAATTGGCAGGCACATACAATACAAACTTCTAAAACTCTTGAGCATTACAAATTTCCACAAAGTAATATGAATATGTCAGTTATATTTTATAAACATAGTCAAAAATTGGGAAAGCATTACCATGAAAGCTTAAAGACCAAAATAAATTTAAGATCCGTTATCATTTTCATTTATGAGGCGATAGTATTATAAAAACATCTTTTCACCTGGGCTGTAAATTCAATATAATACCAATCAAAGTCCCAGCAGAACAGGTTTTACAGAAACTGACGTGTTTATTCTAAAATTTATACCCAAAATCAGAGGGCCTAGAATAGCCAAAGCAGTCTTGAAAAGAATGAAACAGATTATGTGTGTCTGTATGTTATGTGCATACACTTGTCCCTGTATTTAATTTTTTAAGGAAAAAATTAAATCAGCTTTGCGGGGTTAGGAATATGGCATAATCAGTAAGGTGCTTGCTGTACAAACTCAAGAACCTGAGTTTAATCCCCAGCACCCAAGCAGAAACCCAGGTGCAGCACACACCTGTAATTCCAGCATTGGGGATGTGGAGACAAGTAGATTCCAGCATGTCCTTGGCCAATTACTCTAGCCAAATTGGTGATCCCCCAGTTCAGTGAGAGACCCTGTCTCAAAAAAAAAATGTGAGAGCAATTGAGGAAAACACCTTGTTGACATCTGACCTCATGCGTGTTTGTGTGTGTTCACCACACCAAAAAAGAAAAAATTAAATCACCTTTGTAATTAAAGTAATTTCAAGGGTCATTTTAAATTTCAGTGACTGTCACTATAAAGGCAGCTTTGAGAATTATAGCCAGCATGCTCCTTATCTGGATCTTTTGAGTGAAAGAATAATAACATGGTGGGATGAAGGAATAGAAGCTGCTGCTTCTTAATGTATTCTCCACACTCAGTACATGGATGCAGCTTCCAAATTCCACAGAGAAAAGAATCATCAGCACAGCAGCTCTGCTTTCCTATGGATTGGTCTTTTTGTAAAGCAGCCTCATGATTTTCTTAGTACAAGTATTTTATTTTAAAATATATTTCTAGACACCCCTGGTTGGCCTGGAAAAATGTAGATTATTTCATGTCTCTTCAAAATTCCTTTCAAATAAACGAGTCAAACTTGATTGTGTTTTTGAGATGGACGAAAGTAGCAAGGTTGGAAAGAGGAGGAAATCTTAACTTTGCTTTCAGTCCTTTGTTGACAGCTTAGCTTCTGCCTTAGTCATAGGTCCCTTCGTTTTTGTCCATGGAGGCACCCAAGGAATAGGAGCCTTTTGCAGATTTGGAAAAGGATAGTGCAAAAGAAATAGCTGTTACAGAAAAATGTTGTAGTGCCCCAGTCCTCCAGTTTTACAGTTGTATTTTTAGATTAATAATTAATGGTTTATGAATATTGTTTTGTTTGAGACAGGGTCTCACTATGTGGCTTTGGGTAGCCTGAGCTCACTATGTAAACTGTGTATTCACTGTGTAGACTGAGCTGGCCTTGAACTTGCAGCAATCTGATTCCTGCTTTTGCTTCATAAGTGCTGGAATTAGAAGCCTGATCACCATGCCTAGCACTTTCTGGATATTTGACCTCCTGTTTTGCTCGTTTATATCATTTTTGATGTTATAAAAACCAGTGCAAAATTACTAACTCTAATAAGAAGTGAACTAGTTTTCAAGGTCCAGTGTTTAAAAATGTTATAGTGGGATCCAGCTAGATAGCTCAACAGGTAAAGATGCTTGCCCACCCACAAAAATTTTTTGATGTCGTAGTGAAGATCACCTGGAATGGAAAGCTGGTAGACACAATTAATTCTGATGTTGGCATGAAAACCTTTTACTCTACCAACTTAGGTCTGAATGAAGGCCCTCTTGAGTTAACTGCCCATGGAGAGATGAACTGGAAAAAACATGTTTATGCAACACTGCTGAGAACACACAGTAATGACTAACTTGAAGAGTTTAAAGGGCTTTAATGGTAATTGTTTTATACACTAACTTAATAAAAAGATGAAAAGGTTAAAAAACAGAAGATTTTACTGAGACTTATTCACAAAAAAGTTTTTGGAATATCCTCGTGTCCAGCGTCAGGAGACCTAAAAGGGTAGGAAGAATGACTCCCTACCCTCCAAGTAAAACTTTGCTTTGGTCAGATAAATTTCTTTCAGTGTCTGCTCTTAGGTGTTTGACCCTTTCACTTATGTTCTTGCTACTAGGTTCTTTTGGACCTAGTCCAAAAGCATCTGTTTTTGTATGTAGCTTAATGACTTTCAAAGCATTTTCATGTATTTCACTTACTTTTCAAAGGACTTTTTAGGTAGACAGGACAAATGCTAGAAATACTATTATCCCCATTTCACAGGTAAAGAAAATGAGGCTCAGAGTGGTTAACTATTGAAAGCCACACAGCTGATAAGAGAGCTAAATTAAAGAGTTTAAGTAGGGGTGCTGAAGAGGTGCCTAGGTGGGTAAAAGCACTTGCTGCACAAGCATGAGGACATGGTTCAAATCCCCAGTGCCTATGTAAAGTGGGGCGTGGCCACACATGTACCTATAGCCTCAGCATTATGGGAGCAGAGATGGGAGGATTGTTGGGTCTTACTGGCTGCTGACCTAGTCCAAAAATGTCAAGCTCCAGGTTCAGTGAGAGACCCTGATTTAATGTAGTAAGACAGAGACTTTCAGAGCAGATACCTAACATCCTCTTCTCCCCTCTGAACATCCACACTCATGTGCACACATAAACACATGCACACACAAAAGAAAAAACAGAGTTTAAGGGTTCACATGTACCTCCAGTAGTGTAGTACTTGTCTGGCATGCACAAAACTTTGAATTTAATTCCTAGTACCACAGAAATTAATAATAAAATTTAGAGACTGGAGAGATGACTCAGCAGTTAAAAGCACTTGTTGCTCTGGCAGAGAACTAGAGTTCAGTGCCCAGCGCCAACATAAGGCAGCTCACACCATCTGTAACTCCAGTTCCGGGAACCCTCTACCCTCTCTCTTCTAGCTTCCATAGGCACCTGTACTCGTATGCACAGACACACACATACACATAATTTTTAATCAATAGATAACTATAAAATATAAAATTTTAAACTTATAAGGAATTTAGTTTTTCTTCCCTTACATTTAGAGTCCAATTTGAGTACTATCAAATTGAATAATCTATTGTCAATAAGTGCTTTAAAAGGCACTAAGACTGAGTAACATTTGTTTGTTTTGTAGGAGAAGATGATGTAAACTGGTTCATCAGTGACAAGGATATCGAGGTAAAGCCAATTTTTTTAAAAAATTCTGGTTAATATTTTCCTTTGATTCATAGATTCTTTTTGTTTCATTGCAATAACTTTTGCAAGAGTAGCAAGCTTTTTCAAAAATTCTATGGCTCCCTACAGGTTATAAGAGAAAATTTGTTTTAATATGTACATGATTTAACTTTTCAGAAATTTCACTCAACTTTTTTTTGTCAGCTGATTAACAGCTATAATGATTTAATCCCCTCTCCCTTTCTGCTGTTTCTCTGCCATGATGATTCCTGTTAGTTCAGAAGGCCTAGTACTAAGCTCAGCACCGGAAATAACTGTTTCTTCAGTATAAGGAAATGGCTAGTCTATATTTAGAATATGGCAGGTGTTTGTCCATTATTAGCCTTATTGTGGCAGATACTAAAAAAAAAGAAGAAGAATTTTTCAACTTGATAGTCAAGTTTTAAGATCTAACTAGATTGGAGATAATTGGCTTAACCAGCTCAAGAGATTGACAGGTTAAAAAAAGTAAAGCTTTTTCAAAACTGAAATTTATTTTATTTATTTATGTATTTTTCTTTTTTTGAGACAGGGTCTCCTACATAGCCCAAGCTGGCCTCGAACTCGTGATCCTCCTGCCCCAGCCTCCCAAGTGTTGGGATTATAGGCGTGAGTCACCATGCCCGGCTTTAAAGAAGGAATTCTGCCAAACAAGATAAGAGCATGGTTGGAATTTACAATATTCCTCTTTAGGTATTCAATATGATGTGCTTTGCTAATATTCTCTCGTAGATATTAGAATTGGACTAGAATATGAGTCAGCTAGAATTGGGTCACTGTGTAGCAGAATGTATCTTTACAGAACTGTAGTGTGGAATTTGAGAGACGGCTCAGTGGCTAATTACACTGGTTGCTCTTCCAGAGGACCTGGGTTCAATTCCCAGCACCCACATGGCAAGCAACGACCACCTGTAACTCCAGTTCCAAGGGATCATATACCCTCTTCTGGCCTCTGCAGCCATTGCATGCATGTGGTGGGCTTACATGCAGGCAAAATACTCAAATACATAAACTAAAAACAATAAATTGAAAGAAAGACTGTAGTAGAAGAGTTTTACCTCAGACTCATATAGAAATTATAATGTAGTCTTAAAGGCAATAGCAGTAACTTCTTTTTCAAAAGAAGGGATGTATTTGGTAGCTCTGTGGTTTTATAATATTCTAAAATACAAAATCACAAAAGCACTATTCCTAACTAAAACTTAAAACAAGCCTCCCATTCACAAGTATATAGTGTGAATTTAGATACAGAAGTTAGCAGTGACCAGACCTGAACCCTAAGTGGAGAACAAATAGAGGAAGTCACGTGGGTGAGTGCAAAGAAGCACAGCTGACCTTATGCCACTTATTTTAATAAGAGGGGTTCTCTGCTGCTGGGTGTGGAATCGACAGTTAGTTCTTTTACCTTACCGAAGCAATAGAACTGACTTAAAATTGTTTTCTTACTCACTGATAGTTTTCTATGCAAGAAAGAATAGGTAGGTTTCATTAAACTAAATGAAATACATTTTTTAAAATTCTTTATTTTTCCCCCACCCTTAGGCCAAGATAGGTAATAACAGATCATCTGGAAGATGGACCAACCGATATTATTCAGCCAACAAAAATGTCACATGCAGGAATTGTGACAGACGTGGCCATTTGTCAAAAAACTGCCCCTTACCACAAGTACGTGAGATACGTGACACTTCTTTCCTTGTTAGAGTCAAATTCTTGGGGCTAAAACCTTAGAATTCAACTCTTCTTGTCAAAGTGTGTCAAATTTCAGGTAGGTTTTAAGCCTGGCACAGGGGAAAGAGCAGTAGGTATAGCATCAGATAAAGCTGGATTCAGTTTCAGCTTCCTGTGACTAGCTGTATAACCAGGTTCAAATCACTATTCTGTGCTCAGTTTTCTTGTCTGTAAGATGAGAAGAGGGAGTAAGGCAATTCCTTTCACTTCTAACTCTTCTGCTCTTTAGACAGCATATTTCATTGTGGGATAATTTTCACTGTTAGAGATTTATAATTCTTTTTTTTTTTTTTTTTTTGGTTTTTTTGAGAAAGGGTTCTCTCTTTAGCCCTCGCTGCCCGGGACCTCATTATGTAGACCAGGCTGTCCTTGAACTCATAGAGATCTGCCTACCTCTGCCACCCGAGTGCTGGGATTAAAGGCATGCACCACCACGCCCAGTGAGATTTATAATTCTTATCATTTGTAAGTGTTACTAGTGTAAATTATGTTACATATATCAACCTTTGGAACAGCACAGAACTGAAAGCTCTTAGACATTGCCTGGCATACAGTAAGCTCTAAACACATTCCTTCCATTGCCTACTGCGTCTTGTAAATGGCTGTCAAATCGTTGAGACAGTACTTATGTTTCTCTTTGTTTTTGCTTCTACAGACATAACAGCTTCTTCTGTATCTGTACCTCCTGTAGCTTAGTTTCCAGACATCTTCATCATTCTGCTTTCCTCTAGACACCTTCTACTTTGTGAATATTCCACTATAACACAAGATATAATAAGTACCTGAGGATAGTATACCCTGACTACCACTTTTTGGCAACAACATATGGATAGCTGTGTTAAAGCTCTTAAGTTCAGACATTTACTTGATTTTTGCAATTATGCTCAAGGTTGGATCCTAATTGGGCTTCAAATTAGAAATAACTTTTTGTGGAATTATATAGAAAAGGGTTACCAGTCTTCTACCATTTGAAACTGATACCTTTTGCTAAAGAGATTTTGTATTTGTGTGCCACATAGAAAGTCCGCCCTTGCTGCCTCTGCTCGGAGAGAGGACACCTCCAGTACGCCTGTCCAGCCCGTTTCTGCTTAGACTGTTCTTTGCCCATGTCTTCCACCCACAGATGTCTTGAAAGATCTTCCTGGAGAAAACGATGTGACCGATGTGATATGATAGGCCACTATGCTGATGTAAGTATCCCTAATATGACTAGTCAGACTTTGGGGACAATGTGCAGGTTTATAACCATCATCCAACCTACCTAAAAAAATGTTTATTCTTCATTGAATACAGTTGTCTTTTTTTTTTTTTTTTTTTTTTTTTTTTTTTTTTTTCTCCTTGTAGCTCCAGCTGTCCTGGAACTCACTATGTAGACCAGGCTAGCCTCAAACTCACAAAGATCTACCTGTCTCTGCCTCCCAAGTGCTGGGATTAAAGGTGTGTGCCACCGCGCCCAGCTTGAATACAGTTGTCTTGTCTCGCTAGCCACTTAACCTGTAAAGCAGTGCTCTAAATCTCAGGATGGGATTCTACTGGAGTTCTTTTGGAGGAAGTATCCACAAAACACCATGATAGTAGTCCCTTTATTGTTCTACTTACTAAATAAAGATTGATTTTTAAAGAGATATCTAATAACACATAAGATTTATGTATGGATTAATGCATAATTTAAATGAAAATCAATGTGCACTTAGAAGTTGTATACAAATGTCCATGTGAAACCTAGTTTGTTGCTGCTTGTTGGTGATCTTTACTAATGGTAAAATAAATAATCTTGGACAATAAGGACAAGGTCATTTTTATATTTAAGAAGTAAAAGTAGGAACTGGAGAGATTGCTCAGCAGTTAAGAGCACTGGCTGCTCTTGCAGAAGACATAGCCTCGGTTCCCAGCACCGATATGTCCACCAACAACTGTCCGTAACCCCAGTTCCAGGGGATCCAGTGCCCTTTTCTGGCCTCCACAGGCATTGTACAACACTTGTACACATATAATAAAAATAATTTTTTTTTTATTTAAAAAAAGTAAAAGTAACTCAGACCTTGTAGCCCAGCCTTTAATTCCAGAACTTGGCAGACTAATGCAGAAAAATCTCAAGTTTGAGGCCAGCAAAACCCTTTCTCAAAAAAAAAAAAAATTAATATTAAATAATCCAAAGTAATTTAGAAGACATTTCGATTACTTCAACATATTTTAAATATGTTGAATGCCATTTACATCCTGTTGTGTATGGGGTGAGGAAATTCATTCCAGTAACAATTTCAGAGATCATAAGAGGTGATGAATTAAATAGGTTGAGCTTTGATGTGGAATATATAACTTCCTACATTCAGTTTACTTCTTACTCCAATGAATGTTTCATTAAGGATATGTCATTTTAGCTCTCAGTGGCATCCATCACTACAGAGTAATTCACAGTTATTTTGTATTAACAGCTACTCAGTGCAAAGTCATTTTTCATACTCATACCTAGATGCTGATCTCAATTGTTTTAAGGGACATTTATTAAAGAGCTCTCACTTTGTCTTTTCAAGTATTTCTTACCTATTTTTTAAAAATCATAAAAATCATTTCCTTTCATGTATATTTCCCAAAGCTGTAATAGACAAGCACAGTTTTCTAATTTTGTTTATATTAAGAATATACTAGTACCAGGCATGGTTGTATATGCCTTTAATCCCAGCACTCATGAAGCAGAAGCAGGCATATCTCTGTGAGATTGATACCAGCCGGGTCTGGCCAGCTTGGAGATGCAGCAAGACCCTATCTCAAAAGGACAGTTAATATGGCTTTTTCTTGAAACGAATTTGAGATTAAAACAAATTAGAGTAGAAATATTTGGTGTGACTCTACCTGTGCTCTTAGTTTTAGCTTGTTACTTTTTATTAATTTATTCTGATTTTATGTGTAGGATTGATAAGTGCAACATATGTGTGCAATGTTCGCAGAGGCCAGAAGAACTGGAGTTATAGACAGTTGTGAGCCGCCATGTGGGTGCTGGGAACCAAACCTATCTTCTGCAAGAGCAACCAGGGTTCTTAACGGTTGAACTCTCTCTCCAGCCTCTCATTTTGAAAAAATAAGTAGTTCTATAGCAAACATCTTTTGTGTGTGTGTGTGTGTGTGTGTGTGTGTGTGTGAATACATAAATATGCCTGTATATAGCTACATGTGTGTTATGGTAGATCAGACTCTAGTAATTGAATTAGGAAATTTAAAAATTATACATTTGTATTTGAATAGGTATTGATTTTCTACAATGTTGTAGCAGTGTATCCAGTTACTGGGAGTGTTTAAAAAAGTATTATCAGTCTTTTAAAACTGGCAAATCAAGTAGTAGATATGTTCTCTTACTGTGCCACTCTGTTTCTTAGGCTACAAATGGAGTCATGTGTGATTAATTCAGGTTCTATTCTGTAGACTAGGTGGAGAGATAAGAGTTGTCATTTCATTTAAAATACTTTAAATGAGCCCCTAGGTTTAGTCCCAGTACTGAACGGTGTGTGTGTGTGTGTGTGTGTGTGTAATTATAATTTTCTGATTTGGAGTTATGCTTAATGTCATCTGGTTTTTATTCCTTTATTTCAAAGGATTTTTACAAATATGGTCTTATTTTCCTGTGATAATAAAAGAGGGGCAGACATTATCATAAGCAAACATTTTTTTTCTTATTTTTTTGATACAGGGTCTCCCTGTAGCCTCAACTGGCCTGGAACTCAACTAGGTAGACCACGCTGGCCTCAATGCAGAGACCTGCCTGCCTCTGCCTCAATGCTGGGATTAAAGGCATGCACCACTACACCAGGCTCATAAGCAAACTTTTTTAAAGAATATTTTATTTATTATTTTTATTTTAGGTGTATGAGTATATTAACTGCATATATGTAGGTACACCGTGTCATGCAGCGCCCATGGAGTTCAGAAGAGGGCGTCGAATCCCCTGGAACTGAAATTAAGGATAGTTGTTAGGCACTATGTGGGTGCTGGGAACCGAATCTGGGTCCTCTACAAAAGCAGTCAGTGCTCTTAACCACTGAACCATCTCCCCAGCTCCCTCATAAGCAAACTTTATCTTTTTTTTTTTTTTTTTTTTTTTTGTCTTTTTGAGACAGGGTCTCCCTGTAGCCCCAGCTGGCCTGGAACTTGCTAGGTAGACCAGGCTGCCTCTGGGCCTCAAACTCACAGAGATCTGCCTGCCTCTGCCTCCCAAGTGCTGGGATCAAAGGCATGCACCACCATGCCTGGCTCATAAGCATACTTTTAAAATAAGAAACTCATGTGCCTGGCAATTAAAATTTACTTTAAAAAGTCATGTAATTAACTATGAATTAAATCTGTGGTCCATTCTGCTTAACGTCTCAATTTTGTCTTCTGATACACATACTTTTCCTCCTTCTATTCTGCCAAGATACGCCAAGGTTTCCTGATAATTATATGGTGAGAATTCCCATGGGGCCCACTCCAGGCTGGGATCCACTGATCAATCAGTGTAGAGGCTTGTTATCCTCTGCACAAGCAGAAGCTTTTCAGATGGAACACCTTAGAAGCAGTCATTCTAGCCCTAAGTTGTAACTCATTCATTCTTCCTCAACCCTTTTTATTTTTTACCTTTTATTGTAGTGCAAGAGGTTTGAACCCAGGAATTCATGAATGTTGTGTTCTACCACTGAGCCATACCCCCCTGCCCCACCTATACTTCCGAACTGATGGTATCCACTTCTTCCTTATTTGTTATGCCTCTTTCCAAGCCTTCCTCTTCCCTCTTTACTTAGAGATCTGTGGTGTAATTACGAGGTTAATGCTCGTAACATCTGGCAATACTATCCTCAATTTTTCTTGTTTTTATCTTCTCACCTACTACTGGACTTTCTACCCATTCACAGGGGACTTCTGAAACCTGTTAACTATTGATTCTTTAACATTTTATAAATTAAGAGATTAAGAAGGGCCAGCGAGATGGCTCAGTGGGGAAAAGTGCTTTCCACCAAGCGTAATAACCTGAGTTTGATCCCCTGAAACCACCTGATAGACAGAACCAACTGTCACAGGTTGTCCTCTGACCTCCATATGCATGCTGTGTTGTGCCGTTGCATACACACATGCAAAAGGGTACACACACACACACACACACACACACACACACACACAGCACAGTAAATAAATATTTTTTAAAAACAGAGATCAAGAAACTCCACTTTTTTTGTTCCTATGACCATATATATGTGTAAAGAAAATTTAGTCAGAGTCTAGTCTGGCCTTGAGCTCACAGTCCTCCTTCCTCAATCTCCTAAGTGCTGAGATTTCTACAGTCCATCCCTCACCTGGTTTTAACAACTTCTTTTGTTGTTTTTAAAAAGGATCTTACTATACAGCCCTGGCTGGCCTAGAACTCACTATGTAGACCGGGCTGGCCTTAGACTCACAGAGATCCTCCTGCCTTTGCTTCTCAAGTGGATTAAAGGTGTGTATCACCATGTCCAGCTGAATTTAACAACTTTTAAATGTATAGAGAATTCCAGAATGTGTATATGTATTTGTCTTGCATACAGAGTCCTACTCTGTGAGTTGTATTTGACATTTCCAAAATAGTAATGGCTATAACTAATTACTGCAGGGACTGGAGAGCTGGCTTAGGAGCTAAGAGCATTGTCTGTTCTTGGCAGGAGACCTGGGTTCAAATCCCAGCACCCACATGGAGGATAACAACCATCCATAACTCCAGTTCCAGGGGATCCGACACACTCTACTGATCTCCAGGGGTATTGCATGACACAGGTGCACTTATATACATGAAGGTGATATGTTCATACACATTAAAAAAATAAAAATAGGGACTGGAGAGATGACTCAGTAGTTAAGAACATGGCTGTTTTTGCAGGGGACCCGCATTCAATTCCCAGCACCCACATAACAGCTAACAACTGTCTGTAACTCCAGATTGGAATCGAGGGGATCCAGTGCTCTGTTCTGAGCTCTGTGCACAACCCAGGTACACTTACACACATACAGGCAATACAGTCATACACATAAAATAAAAATAACAAATAATTTTTTAAAATAGTCTTTTCAAATAATAATTTCTGTGTTTTAAGCAGTGTGCTATATCCTTAGTATACAGTACATACTCCAAGTCACTTAATCTCACAACCAGCATGTGAGGTAGACATCATTTATTACTCCCATTTTACAA